TATTCTTTATATGTGTCTATATATATATATATATATATATATATGTTATTATAATAAAAATTTATTTATTATATATCAGATTATAATAAAAGAAGATTTTTTTGAGAAAAGAAGATTATGAAACAAGATAGGATTTAGTTTCCAGAAAATCTGTCTCTTTACAAATTAAGGACAGAATTGGCGTAAGGTTAATAAGTATTATTAGGTTATTAATTAAGCGTAAATTTTTTAGTTCAGACCTATATTTTACTATTTTATGACAGCATCATCCAGCATAAATGTGACCTATTATAATGAATATTTTTACCCACTCATTTATGATTAGAAAAATATTCTGCGTAACACTAGGGTTTAACTGTTCGGAATTTTGTTAAATTATACATCAAGACAAAAACATTGAACATCTTTGCTAAATGAGCATGGAATAAAAAAAATTTAATTCATAGTTTCACGAATGAAGTATTCAGAGTAAGCATGGTTTTGTATTTCATTTCGTCATTAAAAATATCACCTGCACATATTAATTACCCCATTTAGTATTAATCTGTTAAGAAGGGCAGTGAAAATTGTCAAACTATCACTATCGCTTAACATTTTGACGCAGATGAGATACAGGTGTCCCTTATATATATATTTCTTCGTGACACAAATTACAAGCAAAAATATATATATTGATATTTCTTAATTATAAAATATAGTTTAATAGTTACTAAAAATCTGTTAGAATATCGGAATTATATTTGTACTAAAATATAAAATCCCAGAAAAGTAGTTTAAAAGATATATTTTTTTTATTCATTTTCAAAACTTTATCCATAATTGATTTTTGAAATCAAAGATTTTTCAAAGGGAAATAACTCTTAGAATTAAATAACTGCAAATTTGAGAAACTTTGTTTGGAAATGAGTCGTATTTGGAAGACTTTGCCTTCAACGCAGAAAAAAAAAGACTCACCTGTGTTTCATGGTGTATTTCATAACCATAAGTTATTGAAATAATAAATATAGTATTTTCTCCTTATTTTGACATAAATTAATGAGATTAGAGATGGCACTTGGATGCTGCCGATCCCTCACTCGCTTTCTCAGTGGTCACTTAAAATATTCAGGTGGTTCCAGATGCCTTCACCATGCGTTACAATGAACATTCGTCCCCTGACCATCACATATTCTTAATTTTCCGGGACTTACTATTACAAGATATGACCGACAATCATGTCATGTTTTTGGACTTTATTAGTGTGCACAAAATCAACTATTTAATAAAAAACACTATTTAATAAAAACACTATTTAATAAAAACACATGTCAAAACCAAAACAATTTTTTTTTAATTGATGAAAAAAATTTTGGGGGTAATTTTTATTTAAAAAAAACGTTTTTTTTAAAATAACTCTACAAAAACTTACTTGGAAACGTTTCGTTACATTTTCAGTTTAAGTTGATTTACGTTTTATATTGAAAAGATGCCTGTATGAATAAAATTGGGGTTCGGTAGCTTTAAACTAAATTTTCACTTTTATTCGTTAGCTCAATAAATTCATTTTCCAACCAGTCTGGTTAACGATCTCTTACCGTCGGTTTAACCATGGGAGTTTTTTTATGTTTTTTTTTCACCTTGTAATGCAAATATGCGTTAGTTTCATAGATATTTTTTCATGACAGTAAATTCACCCATTGTTTTAAGTTTGATCTAGACCAGGGGTTTCCAACTCACATGAGGCCGGGGGCCGCAATTAAAGCACCAGTCAAATGCCTGGCCGTAACTTTATCAAAATTTTATATAGGACTCTTTTATGTTTGAAGGAACATCAAATATTATTGTCAGATTTTTATCAAATTGTACAAAACAAAAGTATTGAATTATAAATTAAAATAAGAAATAGATTTTTTAAAATTATTTATTGCATATTACAAAATTCTGGCCACAAAGTTTACAAATGTAAAGAATTTTGTCTAAAATGCGTGGTTTCAAAAAGTTAAATCGGATAATTTCTTCGAGAAAATTTCGGAAACGCACATGCTAAATTGTATTCACAAAATACAAAAAAAAACGAAATAAAAAAGAGCAACATACACGATTATTTTTGTATTTGAAAAAACCATTACTTGGATGCAAAACCTGAGAAATAAATTTTTTTGCTCCGTTGGTATGTTAAATTTCACAGAAACGAAGAAATTAGGTTTTTTTTAAAGAAGGAAAAGCATTTTAAACCCACATAGAGTTTCTTACGAAACTTGTCCGCAAAAAATGGCACATAATATATTTTAGTTGGCGGGCCACAAAAAAAGACTGAAAGTAAAAATATACGGGTTTTCTTTAATATTGGCACTCCATAAATTATCTTAGAACTATATATATTGTAAACTAATAGTTCGATAGAAAATAAGATTTTTATACTATTTTTCATAAATGCTTTAATACCCGTAACCGACAGGGTAATAAATCGAAGGTGACGCATAAATATTTTTATGGGTACTCGGAACCGGCCGGGTAAGAGATTCAATTTTCACCTGAAACCCGGCAAAATGTCGGTGCATCGTTAATCGAGACAATAGAACCACTGGTAATAGGTAATCGTTGTGGTAATAAGCAATCAGAACTGTCAGTAAAAGAAAAGGCTGATCATCCTTATAACTTTTGAATGATTGTTCTGATCTTTCATCTGTAAAATGCTTTGGCAATATCTTAAGAAAACCTCTCGAAATATGTATGACAGTTAACCGTAATTATGTTTATTTTGAACTAGAAACGCACTTTTTTCGAAGAAGCACATAAATATTTTTTATTACACTCGATTTAGGGAGCAAAAACAACTCCTGAAAGAAAATTTCATTTATTTTTGACAATTAAGAGGTCTGGAAAGATAAATGAACATTTGGCAGGAAAAATAAAGGAATGTAGCCCATTTTTTGGCATTGGTAAAAACAAATTTCAATATGCATCAATTGGGAATCGTGCTGCTTCTTTTGTTCAAAATAATGTGCATATTTTACGAGATACATACATTTATATATATATATGGCACTTGGATGCTGCCGATCCCT